AAAAGATTATTTTTATTGCAAAGGCAGATATACAGAGAGGAGGAGAAACAGAGAGGAAGATCTTCTGTCCAATGGTTCACTCCCCAAGTGACTGCTTCAGCTGGAGCTGAGCCAATCTGAAGCTGGGAGCCACGACCTTCTTCCAGGTCTCCCACGTGGGTGCAGGGTCCCATGGCTTTGGGCCATCTTTGACTGCATTCCCAGGCCACAAGCAGGGAGCTGGATGGGAAGCAGGGTCGCTGGAATTAGAACCGGCACCCATATGGGATTCTGGCACATTTGAGGTGAGGACTTTAACCACCACACCTTCGCACCAGGCCCTCTGGTTCACTTTTCAAATGTCTGCAGTGGCTGGGTCAAGAGCCAGGAGCTTCTTCCAGATCTCCCATGTGGGTTCTGGGGCACAAGTACTTGGACCATCCTTACTGCCTTACCCAACTCATTAACAGAGTTGGTTCGAAAGATGAACAAACAGAACTCAAACTGGTGCCTATATGGGATACAGGCACTGTAATGGATGGCTTAACATGCTACACCACAGTACCTGCCCTAGTAAAATAACCTTCAGTATAATTTGAGCAACATGTTACAATAGAAAGCTCTAGACTTCTTTTCTCACAAACACTAAGCCTCAATCTCTGGACAAATTTTCTTTGTTGGAAGTCAGACATTAATCAAAAATTTATTAAATCTAAGGATGATATTATACCAGACTTGCCAAAGCTGGTAAGCACCCTTTCCAAAATAAATTTCTTGGCCCAGCACCATAGTGTAATGGCTAAAGTCCTTGCCTTGCAACCACCAGGATCCTATATGGGCACTGGTTTATATCCTAGATGCTCCACTTCCAGTTCCCTGCTTGTAGCCTGGAAAAGCAGTAGAGGACAGGCCAAAGCATTGGCACCCTGCACCCATGTGGGAGACCCAGAGGAGGTTCCAGGTTCCTAGACTTGCATCAGCTTAGCTGTGGCTGCAACTTTACCTTGCAGGTTCCTGGGGAGGAGAAATAGGGGGTCAGTGCTCTCTTTTGGCAACTGACAAAGTTTATTTCCAGGATTTCAGTTTTTAAACATTTCATGAAACAATGGTTCAAATCTAACTCAGAATTAGATCATGTCTAAGAACACAGAGAATACAAAGCTAACAAGGTGACTTAGTCAAAAAGTTATTGAAACGCAATAGATAAAGAGTACTGTCTGTCCTTGATTAACTAGACAGAGCACAGATGTCCACCTATCTTCAAGAAGAGCATGATGGCACATCCAAGGACTCACTGGGGGCAAGAACACACTGTGGGTGAGAGACCTCCTGTCTTCTCTTTCCTGGAGCCTCTTCTCAACAGGGTCCCATCGGCCTCCGCTGTCCCAGCTTTCCTACGGGCTGTGTTCCAACAGTGGCCATCGCAGCCACTTGGACAGTGAACCAGCAGACAATCTTTCTCTGTTTCTCCTTCTCTCTGTAAACCTGACTTTCCAATAAAAATAAAAATAGATCTTAAAAAAGAAAGAAAATAAACTTCTAGATTCTTTCTGGAGAAAGGGCAGAATTGATGTGTGTGGACAGCATTTCGTTTTCTGTGACCTATCCCCTAAGCAGTAAAGATAAGGAAAAGACACCCGAGGTTACATTTCACACTCAAATGTATCTAACCGTAGTCAATCATATCACTTCATGGTTTTTTTTTGTATGCTACTTATATATGAGATATAATTCATCTTTGAAGCTATGCTTTTTTTATATGTTACTAAATGCTTCTTATTATTTGCAACAGACTAACCAACACTTCCTGAACACAATTACTGAACAGAATGCAGAAATGGAAGAACTCCGAAAACAACTTAGGTATTTCAAAAATGATTCTTTTTCTTTAGAGAATTTACAGTTTTTCTCATGAACGGTTTTTTCTTTATTTTATTAAGCTTCTCTTACTACTTTTTGTAATATTTATCTGTTAGGATTGGAAGAGACTAAAGAGGAGATAACTGTAATACAACAGTTCTTAAATAAGTTCATGCAATAGGAAACTAATGATTTAATTTTCTTATAATGAAATGAGGTCATCTCTTTTAAAATATTTATTTATTTATTCATTTTTATTGGAATGGCAGATATACAGAGAGAAGGAGATAGATAGAAAGATCTTATCTGTCTGCTGGTTCACTCCCCAAGTGGCCACAATGGCTGGAACTGAGCCAATCTGAAGCCAGGAATAAGAAGTCTTCTAGGTCTCCCACACAGGTGCAGGGGCCCAGGGCTTTGAGCCATCCTACTTTCCCAGGCCACAAACAGGGAGCTGTAAGGAAAGTGGAGCATCTGGGACACAAACTGTCACCCATATGGGATCCTTTGCTTGTAAGGCAAGGACTTTATCTAATAAATGTTAGCCCTATTGCATCAAGCTGAAGGTTATCTTTAACTCAAATTTTTAATAAGATTTTTTTAAATTCCCCTTGTATTTTGGTGCTAAAATATTTTGAAACCCACACGTGACGATTTTCAGAATACATGTTTCCACAACTTTTTGATTACTCCTTGAATACATCAAAACAAGTTCCATTTTCTGTGAATTTTTGAAGTACTGTTATATGTGACATGATGTGCCATGATAACAAAAGCAGTGGTTATAGAAAAAACAATAACTTTAGAGATTTTTCTACACTACTTCATATCATTCTTCAGACACCTTTTGTAACAAGACCCTGACAGTTCCCTGGCATGTGATTGTTTTAAGCTATAATACCAGGAAACCCCAGTGGGATACTGGGATGTGAGACAGGTAAGGGAAAGAGAAGAAAACCAACATCAGTACAGATACTCATCATCTAATTATTGGGTTTTATATGGATAAACCTGTTAAAAGTTGAAACTGTCCTCAGTCAAAAATGAATTTAATATATGCAACCTACTAAGCCTCATAGCTTAGCAACTTAGTACACAGTCCTGAATTTAAAATTGTCTTAGTGTATTTTTCCTTTTTGATGACTAATTTGGATAGTAAGTATATTTTTTCTCGATGATATTTTTAGTGTGATGAGTTTATCAGGATGTAGTCCCATCCCAAGTAAGGAAGCCTCTGTGCTGCAGTGTTGGTCATTTACCTTCCTGGATGACAGAGCTGTGGCTTGCTGCCATAATCCTGTGCCAACAGAATCATATGGCATGTCACTAAAAAATCAAATTGCATAATTTGAAGTACAGTTTCTATGGAATGTTTGCTATAAAACTGAATTATGATTAGTCAGGGACTATCTGTACAGGGTTTGTAAGATTCAAACAATTTAATACTGCATTTTATGTATGGTGGTCTAGTGGTATAGTAATCATGGTATTAATAGATTTCACAGGAGAATCTCCAAATTTTTGTATTTACTTTCCTTCCTTTTGGTCACAAGTCTTACAATTCAGAAGGCTAGACATATGAAGTTTTGTCTTAGCTTGAAATCATTAGAATATAATTAAATTATATTGACTTCCTTAGGTGAACATAGGTTAATTCATTAGTAATTTATGGAATTAATAGCTGGAAGGAATGCTGAGGCAAACAAATGATGCGATTTAAAACAATGTATCATTTATCAATGCCATATTGTATGACCGTTCTACTTGCCTGAAATTTCCATGAAGTATGTTTAGCGTAATGAAATAGCAAATTTTATTGGTAACATCTTGAAATCCATTTTGACAGCCTTGATTGCACCTCATCTGTCATGTTTTCTCTCTTTCATTAATGCATAAACAAGAAGCTACAACAACGACATGAGTTGTATACATTTTGAAAATACAGTGGTGATAATTTTGAAACACCCATACATTAACCAAAATGAAGCATATGCTATTTTTTCTATGTTAAATTTAGGAGTAAATACAAGAAGTCTTTCTTCCTTGACAGTTGAATCCCTAACCAAGAATACTTTGCCAGGTAATGTGTGTTGAAATAGTGGAAGAACCTCTATGTTAGCAGGTGTTTTTGATTCAGAAGGTCACTGAGCTTTTTGAATTCTTTTTATTCTTTGCCAAAGGATGTTTCTGGAAGGCATACATAGTGGTGTGTGTGAAGGGGCAAAATTAATAGCATGGTTACATGATTTGGTTCCCTATTCCATGCAAAATGGAAAACGCTATTCCCTGTCTGTGTTTGGCTTTGTACCCCTCTTACATGGCCTTTTTTCTCCCCCTTGTGGAATTGTGATTTTCAGAATTGCAATTTTTGGATTTTAGTCTTTTGGAATTGTTGCTTTCACAGCATTTTAGACTTTAAGCATTTGATCTTCATGATTTCAGCATTAAAAAATGGCATTTAGGATTTTACCTCTCAGAATTATGATTGGTTTGAGCAGGAATAAAGCAAACGGTTCTTCTTCCCAGTGGAGCACTATCAGAGGAAATCAGTTAATAAAGTTAGCTTAAATTCTACATAGAATTTAGAATGCCTCAAATGCCCAGGTTCCAATAAAAAGAAATTATCTAGTTTGCCCAAGAATCAAGAAAATGTCATCCTCAATGAAAACGGACAACCCCTGGTGGGTCTCAGGATGGGGCGTCTCATGCCTGGATCACAGACCACAGCCGCCATGTGCACGTGGTGAGCTGTTCCCAGGCCTGCCTGGGCTCCCGGGGGCTGCTCCCTTTGGGGTGAGTACAACGAGGGGGGAGGTCTCCATGACTGGGCAGGTCCGGGACCCACCCGCCACCTTCATTGGGCAGTGAATGGGATTTGGGAGGGGCACGACCTTGGGCCTGGGAATTTAAATTTCCAGCAGCCTCCCAGCTGCTGGTGGGTCTCAGGACGGGGCATCTCATGCCTGAATCCCAGACCACAGCCGCCATGTGCACGTGGTGAGCTGTTCCCCGGGTGGCCAGTGCGCCATTAGGTGCCAGGCTCTGCCTGCTGGCCGCCAGGCCAGGGAGCTCTGGGGTTTTGGTTCTTTGTGTCGCTGCTTAATTAGCTCCAGGTTGAACCCATTGTGCTTCTAGGATCTGAAACATTCGTAAAGATTCCCACTGGCAGTAACTCTTCCTTTGTAAAACTTGTAATCAGTGAACAATGCTGACCTCCAAATTCCAGTCTATGCAGAAGCTATAGCTTGTTTGTCCTGCAGAATTATATCATGTTACCTGACATGATGATGGATCAGGAGAAGAGTCCAATTAAGCAAGCCGTTACATTAACTAGCACTCAAAAACCATAACCGGGGGTAAATTCTGTGAGGGAGGTATGGGCCACATCCTGTGAAAATTCTAGCCCCACTGGTTATCTCAAGAGTTGGAGTGGTGATGGACTAAGCTAGGTGTGACCTAGGAGCCTGCCATTAATCACTGGTAAAGGAACCCCCAATAGTCTGGACTGGTCAGGGCAGCAGCACCTGAATGTGCATCCTGATTAGGGTGTGGGGTGGGCCGGGCTGAAACGTTCACCATCTCATACAAGGCCAAATGAAAGGCCACTCTGTTCGGGGACTGGCCTAAACCCAATGGATGTATGAGAACTGGGTCTGGGAGTGGATTAAGTGGAAGAACTTGGGAAACTCCCTTGACGAGTCATAGCTCCCGCTGGTGAACATGTGGTCCACACCTGGGGATTGGACAACCTGGGAAAAGTAGCTCCAACAGCTGGCTAATGTATCAACTGGTAATGGAACAGAGTAGATCAGGCAGGACTGAGCAAACCTTAGCCCACAAGCAAAACTAGAAACCAGGAGGGAGCACAGGTCATGCCGAGCTAGGCTCTTGTACCTGCTGGTCTGTGGGAGCCAGGGACGCTAAGCCACAGTGTCTAAGGCAGAGTTCGGGACAGGTGAGGGGCTGTGCAAAGCTGAGTCAGAGCAACCACGAGCATGTGAGTGATCTATGGCTGGGAACAGGCCCGGTTGGGGAGCTAAGGGGAGTACCCTAGCTGGGTTGAGGTTCCTGCCAAGGGGCGTGTGACCTGGAATGGGGGCTGCATTCTGATCTGGAAACGGTTGTAGTCTCCCTTGGCACAAGTGTGGACTGGGATTGGATGCACCGAACCAGACCAGACCCCAATACCCCCTGGTGTCCTAGAGGACCGGGGCAGATGTGGGATGGACTAGGCAAGGTCTCAAACCCCTACTGAGCCATGTGTGAGCAATATGTGGTCATGGACAAACTATGGCTGGGCTGAAACATCCAACAGCAAGAACCAGACTGGGTTGAAGGCCAGTCAGGAAACGCCATAGTTCCTGCTATGACAGGAGGTGGACTGAGTAGGGTTGGCTCATGGACCCACTGGTAAGCGTGAAACCTGGCATTGGGAGAGGTTTTGATGGGGAGGAGCCTGGGCAACTCCTCTGGCAGGACACAGACCCGGCAGGTAAGTGCAAGAAACATGATAGGAAACAGCCCAGAACAGGCCATGGAAGGTTACCCACTGGCATACAATTGGCAGGGGTTGAGGGAAGAACAGGCTGAATCTGTCCACGTCATCCACTGGCAAATCCAAGCACCAGAACAGTGTGGGTCGAGCCAGGTTTGGTTGCACAAAGACCAGTGCCCAATACGGAATGCCAAGGTGAGGTTGCCTGTACCGGAAGGGACCGCAGCACCCAACCAGCGTGAGAACAAGGAAGGGAGGGGGCAGAGCCGGCAGGGAATAAGGCAGGGTTCATTTGCTGGACAGCTACTCCCGCAGCAGAATGTAGGCTGGGATGGGGGCAGACCAGACTAGGCAGAGCTACCACACCTGTGCGCCTCATGTGGACTAGATCAGGGAAAAGCCGGGCTGGGCTGATTATTCCTACTGGTGCAAACAAAATTAGAGTGGGTGAGGGTTGTTTGGGCTTAGCCACAGCATCAGCTGGCAGAAACTGGCACTGGGAGCTAGTTCTGTCAAGTCAAACCACAGAACTGTTTGGAGAGTGCATAATCTGGGAGTGGGAGAGGCCTTGGAGGGAAATAGTGGGCTCCTCCCTCTTGGGTTACCACTTCCTCGGGAGGACATAAAACTAGGACAGCGGCTGGGGTGGAATGGGGTATGGGACAGACTGGATTACTGCTACACATACTGGCAAACCAGTGTAGGGGCGGGCCTGGTGGGGGTTATTGTTGGTCGCTCCAACTAGGCTGCAGCTCCCACCGGTTTAAGTGAGGGCCATGTATGTGCTGGGCAGAACCAGGCTGGACTACAACACCCATTGGTTCCAGTGGAAGTCGGGGGTGAAAACAGAACCAACCCAGCAGTTACAACTACCAGCTGATCAGGGCGATGGACGGTGCCAGGCCCTGTACTTGCTAGCACATACAAGAATCTGGTTTGAGAACGCCTCAGACAAAGTTTCTTTGGAGATCTTCCTAATCTAAATGCTGGACTCAGAACCCTTACCAAGAAAAGAGAGAAGATAGAACAGGTCAACCAACCATCTCAGTTATGATGGACTATGTCAATCAGTGGATTTTTCGAAGACCTCATAGTGCTTGGAATGGCAAGATTGGCAGCGATTCATAACTATTGAAATATCAAAACCACTTTGAGCAAGTTCCTCAGAGCATGCCCTACATCCGGGACCTGTGGAGGGTGGGAAATTGGGTGGGCCTTCTCCCTTAATAGCTCCCTTTAAACATGAAGGAAACAACATGGAAAAAAAAAAAGAAGAGACTTAAAATGCTCAGGACCGAGAAGGAATAAAGTTGCTTTATGATTGCAAAAAGAAAAAAGAAAAGAAAAGAAAAAGAAAACGGACAACCCAGGTGACACAAAAAGTAATAGTATGTGACAGACTTTTTAAAAAGATATATGACTGTTTGAAATTCAATGTTGAAAGAAGGAGAAACGGAGGGAGATCTTTCATCTGTTGGCTCACTCCCAGATGGCTACAATAACCTAGGCTGGGCCATTCTGTATCCAGGAGCCAGGAGCTTCACCTGTCTCCCACGTGTCCTTTACTGCTTTTCTAGGTACTTTTGAAAGGAGCTGGCTTTAAAGAGGAGCAGCCAGAATTCTGAAAAACACTAATTTATGATGCCAGCATTAAAGGTAATGGCTTAACTTGCTGCTCCACAGAGCCAAGTCCAATAGTTTTTTTTAAAGGCCATAGTGTGTTTCTAGGAACATTTATGGTTAAGCTTGGAACACATGAAAAAAGTACAAATTCTCAGGAAAGAAATAGTTGCATGAGCTTTTGAGAAAGTAAGTGGAAAACTTAAACTGTTTAACTTCAACAGGAAGATTCAGTTCTCTAGTGTGAGATAAGTCTTGCCAAATACTTAAAATTAAAACCAATGTAAAATACCTATAGCTTTTCCTCTCCCACTCACTCTTGCTTTCTCCCTTCCTCCCATCCCCTCCTCCCTCCCTTTCTCTTCATCTCTTGGTGTATGTATGACACACTTTATAATCGAATGTTAGCTTCTTTCATTTGTAACATGTCAATTACCAAGGTTGTTCTGTAAAAGAATAAAATGCAATGTTATTTACAAGAGTGATCTTGAAGACTGAATGGAATAAACCCTCTCTATATAAATTTTGTGTATGACAAGGGTATAGTACAACACAGTAGAGAAGCAATCCTCTTTGCCTGTTGCCAATGAGAAAAATCTGCAAAGTTTTGCTTTATGCTGTTATGTACTTATTTGTTTTAGCATTACAATATGTAAGCTTAATAAATAAAAGACACTTTTTCTTATTGACAGTATGCAAGAACCTCTAATATTTACTGGGAAATATTTCTTAGTCAAGACTTAAACACAGGCTAAAAATGGAAGAGATTGATAGGTTAACCTGTTGTTCCTTTTTGAAAAGTTCCCTTGGGAAAAACAATGTAGGTCAAGTGAAAGGGGACATGCAGTCTGTGAGAAGCCATATTTTTCAAGATTTATTTTTATTGGATAGTTAGATATACAGAGAGGAGGAGAGACAAGAGATGAAGATCTTCCATGTGCCGATTTACTCTCCAAGCGGCCACAACGGCTAGAGCTAAACCGATCTGAAGCCAGGAGCCAGGATCTTCTTTTGAGACTCCCATGTAGATGCAGGTCCTAAGGCTTTGGGCCGTCCTCGACTGCTTTCCCAGGCCACAGGCAGGGAGCTGGATGTGGAAGCAGGGCCGCCGGGTTAGAACTGGCACCAATGGGCCCAGCGGCATGGCCTAGTGGCTAAAGTCCTCGCCTTGAACGCCCCGGGATCCCATATGGGTGCCGGTTCTAATCCTGGCAGCCCCACTTCCCATCCAGCTCCCTGCTTGTGGCCTGGGAAAGCAGTCGAGGATGGCCCAAAGCTTTGGGACCCTGCACCCACATGGGAGACCTGGAAGAGGTTCCTGGCTCCTGGCTTCGGATCGGCACAGCACCAGCCATTGAGCTTACTTAGGGAGTGAATCATCAGATGGAATATCTTCCTCTCTGTCTCTCCTCCTCTCTGTATATCTGAATTTGTAATAAAATAAATAAATCTTAAAATAAAAAAAGAACTGGCACCCATATGGGATCCCATTGCGTGCAGGGTGAGAACTTTAGCCACTCCGCTATCGTGTTGGACCCTTGAAAAGCCGTTTGTAGTGCATGTTACACTACAAACGCAAAAAATAAAAGTTCGCAAAAGTACGCATTAAGATTAATAACTAAAATTGTATAGAAAATTATATCAGAAGATGTGAATAGACATTTCTGAATAAAAATGCAAAATAAAATAACACCATTTAGGTTTAACATGTTGAAATACTCAGCCCAAATACCTGAAATCAGATTTTGGATTTTTCCTTTAACGTTTTGAAATAATTCAGATAATAGGATGTGTTGGGGATGAGGCCCTTCATCTAGTGAAGTTGTGTGTCAGCTGAAGCCTCTGTTGTGGCCTGAGGGAATATTTCTGTAGTCTTCTCAGTGTACCTGGATGGCAGCTGTAACCTATTCATGAGCTCAGGGGGTAATCACTGTGGCATCAGGTTGGCACTATGAACATTTTGGCATTTGGATTATTTTATATTAGATTTACAGGTTAGTAATTCCCATACTGATTGGCCAATATCAAAAGTGCATGGCTGTACTTAGGGGCTGGCTCTGTGTCATAGAGGCTCTGCCTGCGGTGCTGGCATCCTATTTGGGCACTGAGTTAAGTTCTGGCTGCTTCACATCTGATGCAGATCCCTGCAAGTGTGCCTGGGAAAGCAGCAGAAGATGGCCCAAGTGCCTGGGCCTGTGCACTGATATGGGAGATCTGGAAGAGAGTCCTGGCTCCTGGCCTCGGACTGGTCCAGCTCTGGCCTTTCTAGCCAATTGGTTAGTGACCCTGTGGATGAAAGGTCTCTCGCTCTCTGTCCTTCCTCTCTCTGTTGTAACTCCCTTTCAAATAAAAATAAAATTAAAAAAAAAATACAAGGTTTAATCACCAAGTATAAAAGATTACAGTATGATACGACCTATATATCTTTCAAGAATGTTAAACAATGTTGTATATCGATTGTGGATACATATTTGAGCTACATATGTTCATTATGTATATAGTAAAAGGATGAAATGTATATGCCTTGCATGTGTGTATGCACGTGATAAAGATAAAATAGGAACGAGAACAATGACTCAGCTCTGGCCATTGTGGCCATTTTTGGAGTAAACCAATGGATGGAAGCTTCCTTGCTCTCTCTCTTTCTCTGTAAATATATCTCTCAGATAAAAACAAAGAAATCTTCAAATAAAATAAAGTTATTTCTGGAAGCTGGGCTTTTAGCAGAGTGTTTGAGATACTGCTTGAAATGTTGTTGCCCTATGCTGCAGTGCCTGGATTCATAACCACCCACCCCTCATTGCAGCTCTTGCTAGTGCAGATCGCAGTCGATAGCAGTGATGGCTCCTGCCACCCACCCCGGATGGCTGCATGGTGTTACTGACTCTGAGTTTCAGCCCAACCCAGTCTTGGTGTTTGGGGAATTTGGAGAGTGAACTACAAATGACAGTCGTGCGTCTGTCTCTCCACTTCTTAAGTAATTTTGTGTTACTGTTTAATTGAAAGAGTATGAATCTATAGCATAAAAACATATATGTAATAACTATATCAGTAAATGTATATGTATGCATGCATCTATAACTAGTTAATGTATACATCTAATAATATATCTCAAATTATTTTATTTTAGAAGTTTTAAATCACAAAAGAGATTGAGACACAAATACTTCTCATATAAACCCCTCATCCCAGTTCCTTATTACTTCATATTTTTATGATTAATGAACCATACATAACTTCCTCTATTTTTGATCCAAACTGCTTTTATCACTCCCACCCCACTCTGCTGCTGGTGTCAACACTTTGTTCAGATTCAGTATCTTTGTTTTAGGTTCTAGATTAAGAGGAAATATGCAATATTATCCTCTGTGTGTCTGACTCATTTCACAGAACATGATGTCCTCCAGTTCCATACATTTTGCTGCAAGTGAAAGGATTAATTCTGTGAGATGTTTCCTTACCTTATTGATTGTATGATTTGCTGTGCAGTCTGCTGAGTTTGATATGATTCCATTTGTCTAGTTTTGCTTTTGTTGTCTATGCTTTTGGAATCTTATCCAAGAAGTCATCACCTACACCAGTGTCTTGATGCGTTTCCCCTAACTTTCTTCTAGCAGTTTCATAGATTGTGGTCTTAGTTTTAGATCTTTCATTTATCTTGAGTCGATTTTTATATATTCTCACTGGTAGGGATCTACTTTTATTCTGCTTAAAAATGTATGCTTTTGCCAACATCATTTACTGGAAAAACAATCCATTCTCTAGTTTATGTTCTTGGCATCCTTGATAAAAATCACACGGGTGTGTGTACATAGATTAATTTCTTGGCTCTGTATGCATTTCCTGGATCTGTGTACCAGTTTTTATGCTAATACCATGCTACTTTAGTTATGATCACTTTGTGGTATGCTTTGAAATCAGATATTGTGATTAATTTTTTTCCCGAAGTATGCTTTGGCTATTCTGGATCTCTTATGGTTTTATGTAAGTTTTAAGATTGTTTTTTTCTAATTCTGAAAAAAGTCATTGACATTTTTATAGAGATTTCTTGAATCTGTAGATTGTGTTAGGTAATGTAGACATTATAATGATGTACATTCTCCCAATTCATAAGCAAGGGATATCTCTCTAATTTTTATGTGTATCCTTGGTGATTGGTTTCTTCAGCGTTTATAACTTTTGTTGTAGAGGTCATTCAATTTTCATTACATTTATCCATAGACCTTGATTTTTTTTGTAGCTGTTATAAATGGAATTTTATTCTGATTTATCTTTAGCAAGATTACTGTCTTTGTATAAACGTGCTGTGGTATTTTGCATGTTTATTTTGTGCACTGCAGCTTTACCAAATTGGTTTCTCGGGTAAAGCCATTCTTTTGGTGGAGCATTTAAGGCTACATAATATCATCTATAAACATGGATATTTTGACTTCCTTGTGTCTAATTTCAATACCCTTTATTTTCTTCCTTCTCCATAGTTGCTCTTGCTAAAGCTTTCAATGCTGTATTGAATAAGATTAGTGAAGATGGACTTCCTTGTCTTGTTCTAGCCGTAAGAGGAAATTCTTTCAGATTTGCTTGCCATTTGCCCCATTCAGTATGATATTAGCTGTTGATTTTTTTCATATCATAATTTTCCTAATTTTGAGACATGTTCATATCCAAAGTGTTGAAACTTTTAAACATGAAAGTGTTGACTGTAATAAAATGTTTGAGGTAGTCTTACAGTTTTTTTCTTCGTTCTGTTGGTGTGTTTTATGATGTTTATTGATTTGCTAACACTGATCCACTCTTACAGTTCTAGAATAAATTCCTGATGATCGTAATGTATCTTTTTGATGTCTTGTTGGATTTAGTTTGCCAACATTTTGCTAATAATTTTATCTTATATATAATATATTTTATATCATATATTTATAATTATTATATATAATCATATATTATGTTGGAATTATATTATTATTGTATTGTAAATGTTATATTTGTGTATTGTATATTATTATATATGATTGTATAATTATTTTATTCTATATTATAATTATATATAATGTTTGCAATTACATATAATATGTGCCGTATAATATATATTATATATTAACATAATTTTATGTATGCAATAATTTTATATATTATATACCAGGCATATTTTATATCCTTGTAGAAGGATGTTTTTGTGTAGTTTTTGTATTGTGCCTTTGGATTTCAGAAAAAGGCTGTGATCATAAAAAGAGTTTGATAGAGTTCTGTCCTTTCATAATTATGGAATAGCTTGAAAAGCATCGGAGTTAATTTTTTTAAAATTCAGCTTGCAATCAGGTCCTGGAGTTTTGTGTGATGGAGACACAATTACTGTTTCAATGTAATCCCTTGCTATGGGTATGTTTAGATTTTCCTTATCTTCTTAATTTAATCTTAGTAGATTTTAGGTATCCAGGAATTTATCCATTTCTTTGAAAATTTTTAGTTTGGAAAACATACTAGTCTTATCCACTTTCCTGTAGCCCTTGAACCTTCTTACCCTAATTACCTATGTAAAGAATGTCAAAATAAAATTTTATTAAAAAAAAAAGAAAATTTTTAGTTTGTTAGCCTATAGTTATTTTTAATAGCTCTTTATGATCATTTGTATTTCTGTGGTTGTAACATCTCCTTTTTCACCTCTAATGTTGTTTATTTGAATTTTTTCTCTTTTGTTTCTATTTCATCTGTTCCTAATATTTTTTAGTCGCATTTATAGAGAAGAGAGGCATAGAGAAAAGTCTTCCACCCTCCACTTCACTTCCCAAATGGCTGCATCTGCCAGAGCTGAGTCTGTCCAAAGCCAGGAGCCAGGAATTTCTTCAAGGTCTCTCCCGTAGGGACAGAGGCCTAAGGATTTGGGCTGTTCTCCGCTGCCTTCCCAGACCACAAGCAAAGAACTGGATATGAAGTGGGACACTAAGGACAAAAACCAGTGCCCATAGGGGATGCTGGCACTTGCAGGTGGAGGATTAGCCCATTGCTGGCCCCAATTTCATATTTTTCCTTTCCTTTCTTTTCCTTTCTTTTCTTTTTCTCTTCTCTTCCTTTTAAAATTTCACGTTTCTACTCTGGCTCTTATTTTTCACCTACTGCTCATTTGGGGTCTACAGTTCTAAGAACATGCTGGGCCCAACTAAATCCTCACCTTGCATGCCTAAGATCCCAAATGAATGCCGGTTCCTGTTGTGGTTGCTCCACTTCCCATCCAGCTCCCTGCTTCTGGCCTGGGAAAGTAGAGCAGGATGGCTTTCTTCATTCTTTCAGTTCCTTTCTCTTTATTTTTGTTGACTGGACTATTTTAAAACAGTCTTTTCCCCCATATAAATACTTTCTCCCATTTGGATTATTCTGTTGTTGAGGCTCTCACTTAAATTTTTTATTTAGTTGTTTGAAGTTTTCCACCTCATAATTTGTTTGATTCTTTATAATGATCTATATAACTTTGCTGCATTTCTCATTCTTGTCATCTGTTGTTTTTTTCATTTCTTTAAACATTCTTTCTCTAGACTTGTATTTCATTCAGTTTCCTTCAGATCATTATTCATTTTCAAGTGTCTCTTAGATTTCCTTCAGATTGAAATCTATTTCCAGAGACTTGTGCTCTTTTGCTGCTGTAATGCTTATTTTCTCACGTTTCCTGTATTCCTACATTGATACCTACACATCTGGCATAATATGTCCATTTTTTATGAAGTAGGTTTCATTGAAAGAGATGTCTTTGTTTAGATGAAACATAGGCTATCATTGGAGTTGTTGCCTTGGCTTTGGTTCTATGTCAGTTCAAAACAGTAGCGTCTTAATTTCAGGACTGGGGGTCTGCTGGGCTGGGCTAGGCTGTAGCCCCACCAGCATGAGTTGGAATTGGGAATGGGTCATAAAAGAACCAAATTAGAACTCACATCCTATAATTGCTAATCCAGTGAGACTTTTAAACCTGGATCTCTGACAGAATTCAAAGTAGCAAGCATATTAATAATCGAAGTCGACTGGGAAAGAAATGTGATGAGTAGATGTTGATTTTTGACATCTGTATGGATGATTCATTTGATTAGTGGACATT